CTTCCAGCTGTTCACCAAATGCAGCCTCCATCTCTCCATTACCACTGCCATGGCCAGAGATAATTATTACCCTCCTAGACCACTGCAACAACTCCCAACCCTTCCTCCAGCAACCAGCCAGCCTCCATTCAATCCAGACAACCCTACTTCTAGAATAATCTATCTTCCTCAATAACAAAATCTAGTTATGCCATACCCTGCTTAGAAATATCTACTCTACTGTCCACAGGAAGAAATCAAAACTCCTTTACTTGCCTTAAAGGTTTTCCCATTCCCGTCCTTAATCTAGGGTTTCATCTTATCTTCTAGCACTCTATCCACTTCTAGCCTGAGTTCCAACAGCACTGAACATATTTGTTCCCTGACACAACATGTCCTTTCATCCCTGCTTTACTCATTCTATTCCCTGTCCCTAAAGTTCCAATTCCTTCTTTTTCCCCTCAGGTGAGGTTCTAGTCACTCTTCAAGGATTAGATCAAATATGTAAGATTCTCCATAAAGTCTTTTCTGTATTTCTCAGTCAGTCCCTCTATTTCCTCAGACTCTGTTTTTATCTATAGTATACACACTTATTCAACCATTGTAACTTTACACCTTACTTTTCTTTCTTCCCCACCAGGCAATACAGGTCTCAAAGATACAGACTCTACTTACTGTTTTCTCACGAGTGGTTGCAGAGCATCACACAGGCCTTTGTCTCCCATCTCCGCAAACTTGGCAGTCCGGAATGGAACTCACAGCTGCCGCTTTCACGAGTTCCCCTTCCAGTGCCCATGAGCCTGACACAGATCCCACTGTTTTTACTGGACATGTGGTCTTCAAACCTTAAGACCTCTCTGCCTTCATTCCCAAGATAAAATCAGCTACTAAAGTGTAGGAGTCTATTCATCAGAAGGTCTCTGTTCCCACCAGAAACTAAATCCATGCCAGCTTCTGCCTGCATTTCTGCCCTATCCTGGCCTCCCTGCTTTCAGCCTCTCTCAACCAAAATCCACTCAATGCTGCCCCTGGACAGTTTTCCTTAAACACCACACTTACAGTGTTACCACAGTGGATCCCTATTGCCCAAGGAGTTTATTTCAAACTACTCCCTTTGGCATTCAGTGCATAAAATCACTGATCTGCCCTCACTTCCTGCAGACTCCAGGTACATAGCTCACATTCCCTGCCAATGTCTTCCACTTTTCCATCCCCTACCTTTGTCGATTCAACACCTGCTTATTCATCCATTCCATATATACTGGGAAATCTCTCTGTGCCAGTCACTGTGGCAGGCTATGGTGACAAAAAGACAAGGTTCGTGCCTTCATATAAACCAGTTGCCTTCTAATTTTATTGTGCCTCAAAAATAGCTAAGGTGCTAGGTTAGAGTGAAGATTCCTATTCTACCCTCCCCCAAAGATTCATATTTGTAGGTTTAGAATGGCACCTAAAAAGGTAACATAGGGATGAAAAATTACCTATGGGGTACATTATATACTACTCGGGTGATGGGTACACCAAAAGCCCAGACTCCACCACTATACAATATATACATGTAATAGAATTCAACTTGTACTCCCTAATTATATTAAAATTTTAAAAAATGTTTAAAGTTCATGCTTACCAAATACCTAAATGACTCTAATAAACCCCACTTCAAGTCACATGGATACAAACTAACAATGACCATAAAACATAAGAACCATACCTGAAGTAAACACAAGTTAATATGGGAGCAGACTGCACTTGAGAGGTGGTTGAATTAACAAGGTAACAAAGATGGGCAGGGAGGAATAGGTGAAGGGAGGACTTTCCATAAAGAGGGAACAGTTGTGCAAAAGCAACGCCTAAAAAGGCTGGGAACAACTGCAGCCCGATCTGAAAATAGCCCGATGAGGCTGGATCAAAAAGTCCAGTGAAAAGGAATAGGAAATGGGCAACAAGGCTGACCATCCAGCACTGACCTGTCCCAAAGACAATGGTTCTTAAGCTGGGAAGTGACATGATTAGATTCATTTCATAAAAATCAATCTGAAGGATGGAGTGTAAGAAGGCAGGTATAGAGCCTGAAAGAGTATTTAGAGACTACTTATGTCATCCAGGTGAAAAATAAGAAGAAACCCAGAAGGATGGCTCCGTCACTACTCCTGTAACCTATTTTTTATTTTTTCAAATAATATGTGCACATGTTTTAAAAACTAAGCTAACAGTACTAAAAGATTTATAATGAATAATAGCAGTACTCCCCACTCTCTCCCTCCTTATCCCCCTTTCCTACTCCCCATAGCAATCTTTTTTTTAAACAACTTTAGTTGCTTCTCTTGGTATTTTATTCCATATTTCTACAACTTTCTCTTTCTCACACATTTTACACAATTTGATCATGCCGTGCCTTGGTGTAGCTTATTTTCATGTTTTTTATGCTTGGGGTTTGTTCAACTTCTCAGATCTGTGGGTTTATAGTTTTCATCCAAACTAGAAACATTTTGGCCATTACGTCTTCATGTCTTTTTCTCCCCTAACTTCAGAGACTACAATCACACCTGCGTGAGACTATTTGCATCTCATAGCTCACAGATGCTCTCAGTTCTTCCCCCCCCCACCCACCCCGAGTCTTTTCTCTGTGCTTATTTTGGATAGCTTTGATCACTATATCTTCAGGTTCACTAATCTTTTCTTCAGTAATGTCCAATCTGTTAATCCCATTGGGTGCATTTTTCATCTCAGGCATTGCAGTTTTTGTCTACAGAAGTTCAATTTGGGTCTTTTTTATATCTTATATGTCTCTAACATGCTCAATTTTTCTTCTATCTTCTTGAACATGAGTTCTGAGTACTGCTCCCTCTAATCCTTTCCAATGGTTCTCTCTAACTTTGGGTCATTTTCTCAAATGCAGATATTAATCAGTATCCAGCTGAAGACTTGAGAGGGAACCTCTGCAAATCTTTGGAGCTCTCAACTCTGCAGCTTTCTTCCCCTTGGTCGTCTGTCCTGAGAACTCCAGCCAACTTGATCTCCCTCCCCAGCTCCTTTTTCTCAACTCAGGGAATACACCAGGTTCCACCCTGGTTCCCCCTCCCAGCCCCATGACTCAAATCTCTCTCAAGGCAGTAACCTGGGGCTATCCTAGGATTCATCTCATTTGATTCCTGTTTCTCAGAAAGCACTGTTCTTTCCTGCCTAAGTCACAAATTTTGAAACATGGGGTTTTTTTCTCATATATTTTTTCTAGTTTCTTCATTGTTTTAGCAGAAGGATAAGTCTGATCCCTGTTATTACATCTTGGCTGGAAGCAGAAGTTCAACACCATATTTCTAAATAAAAGGCTTATGGTGATTTTTTGATCTGTGCATTTTAGACATTAACAATTATTTTCTTAATGTGGTCCGTGAGGATTTAGCTCTCTCGTAACACTAACACTCCCATTTTCTCTCAACCCATCTTCCCAATATAGCTTCCTCAGAATGTTCAGTTAATCAATTATCAGTGTTTATATTTTTATGCTTACTTAAACGTTTTTCACTGCTGAGCCTAGAGGTTTACTTTGTTGCTTCCTTTGGAGTTTTTGTTTTTCCTGGAATTAACATTTGCCTCATTTTTATCTGCTCAATTTTCCATGTACTTATTTCTAATTTTGCTCAAACTGGTCTGTGCAATGTTTTTTCCAAATATTCAAACATACTCTCAGTTCCATTCCTCATCCCTTGCCTGTCCCTAGAGTTCTGTCCTTCAAATTCATTTTGGTCCTATTTTTCTCTTGGGTCATCCTCGATTTCCCTTAGTAGACAGCCCATCTCTCCTGGGTTTCTCTTTCTTGGTTACTCCCTTGTTTTGCTAAGGTACTTCCTACAACACCTTTCAATGTAGAAATGGCTCTTTCTATGTAGAAATTTGTGACTTTCCATTCTATGAAATCTTCTATTATTTATTTAATAATCTCCTCTCATTTGTTTTCTCTATTCTCTGGAACTTATAGAAGTCCTATATGTGACATCCTGAATTGAACCTCTGATTTTATCTTTTCTCTCCCATGTTCCATTTCTTTGTATTTTTGTTCTACTTTCAAAGAGATCTTCTCATCTCTATCTTCCAACCCTTTTCAAGCAATTTTACATTTCAACTTTTTTAATTTCCAAGAGCCTTTTCTTAATAACTAATTATAGCACTTGCTATGAGCCAGGCATTGTCTGAATACTTTACATATACACATATACTACTAAAATCTCCCAAAGAGTCAGATAGTATTATTATCCTATTTGATAGGAAAACTGTGGTCCAGAGATGTTAAATAACTTGTCCAAGGTCACATAGCTAGCAAGTGAGGGTTTATTCTCTCTCTCTCTCTTTTAAGAGACAGAGTCTTTGTCTGTCACCCAGGATGAAGCACTGTAGTGCAACCATAGCTCACTGCAGCCTCAAACTCCTGAGCTGAAGCAATCCTCCTGCCTCAGGTTCCAAAGCTCTAGGACTACAGGTACATGTGCCCAGCAAATTTTAAATTTCTTTTTGTAGAGATGGGGCCTTAGTACGTTGCTCAGGCTAGTCTTGAACTCCTGGCCTGAAGTGATCATCCCACCTTGGCCTCCCAAAGTGCTGGGATATAAGCACTTTGTGGTGTAAGCCACCACATCTGGCTTTTTTGTTCATTTGTTTTTACTGTTCTCTGTTGTTTTATAAAGGTAACAATATTTTTTCATCTTTCTGGTAGTATTAAAGCTTGGGGTTGAGGACTTTTTTCTGAAATTCTATTTTGTCCCTTACTCTGATTCTTCTTCCAGGTTCCTGTTTGTTTTGATTTCGATTTCTCTCTCTCTCTCTCTCTGTCTCTGTCTCGTTGGCCTCTTTTCTCAAATGTCTGGTGATTCTTGGCTGTCCATCCATATTTAAGACTGAAGGACTAAATAGCTGAGAAAGTGAATGGGGTCTGTCATTTGGTGGGTTTCATTTCATGCTGACCAGGTAGTGAGTCCATCTTTCTGCTTGGGAAGTCACCACATACCAGCATTGGAAGGTCTTACCTCTGAGGTTGTTACAATTTCTGTATAGAAGAGTTTCCATATCCACCTTGAGGTTAGGGATGGTGGAGAGTGTTGTTATAAGCTTAGCTTCAGATTTCTGTGAATAGAGAACATGAAGGCTGAGGATCCCAAAATTCAGTGTATAGACTTCAACCCAATGCACTCAATGCCAGTTCTCAATCCCATAGCTCACCCTCTAATGGGTGAGCTAATCCCACATCTAGAAATCCACCAATGCACTTTTTCCAGAGAACAAGCCCTGGGTCTCATGGAGTGGGGAGAAACTGCAGCCTGGCTGCCAACGTGAAGGGAAGGAAAGGGACATGGAGCATATCCAATCCCTATGTTTGGCCCCACACCTCTCTCCTTTCTATGGTTCCTGATGCCTTGAGGACAGAGCCTTGCAGGGGGTCTCCAGAACACAATGGCTCACTTTTGATTGGCTTTCTCCTCAGCCTACACCTTCTGCTCCATTTACACCCCAGTGCAATTCAATTCTGAGACAACTAATCAGAGTTAACATCAGACTCCTTAGGTTTGAGAGCTTAGTTCACTACAAGACTGCCCTTACTTTAGGCACCAGCCACCAATTTAGTTCCCAGGCCTACCATACTTTTGATTAGGTGACTACAAATTTGGGGGTTCCCTCAACTCCCCCTCAGGTTCCGTAATTCACTAAAATGACTCACAGAACTCGCTGAAAGCACTATACTTACAATTATAGTTTTATTATAAAGGACACATATAAGGCAAGGTCTGGAAATGCAAAATTTCCATGCCCTCTCCCCATGGAGTAAGAACATATCACACTCCCAGAATGTGTTTAACAAACAGGAAGCTCCTTCAAACCTCAGTATCCAGAGTTTTTATCAGGGTTTCATTATGTAAGTATTGTTGATTGCATCATTCCCCATGTGGCTGAACTCAATCTCCAGCTCCTCTCCCCTCCCTGGAGGCTGGGCTGGCCCAAAGTTCCAACCCTCTAATCTTGTGTTTGGTCTTTCTGATGACCGGCCTCCACCCTACAACCATTTAAGGGCTCACAATGAGCCGCCTCATTAGCATAAGAAAGTCACTCCTATCACTCAGGAAACTCCAAGTGTTTTTTCTGTGCTAGGAACTGAGGACAAAGACCAAGTATATGCCTTATTTACCATAGTTTCTCTACCTGTTTTCTACATTTCCAAAATTTTCTAACAGCTAATATCTCATTCACTTCTATTTGTCCTTGTGGCTTAATAAATATGTTTTATTTCTTTTATTTCCCTTATAGCAAGACTTGGGAGTGAAAGTAGAAAAAGGTGAAAGATTACTTCTCCCTCTGTGTTTACTGAAGTCCCTAACACAGTGGGCTCAAGTCCTTTATTTCCTATTAACTTACTGTATGGCCTTGGCAAAGTCACTTTATTGTTCCAGACTCCAGTTTCCTCAATTACAAAATAAAAGCATTTAATTAGAACTGAGAATATCAGATAAGTATTACCAGTTCTATGGCCCTTTCTTCTCATACTTCTTGAAGATATCACTAATTGATCATAGAGGTCTTTCCCACTAATCCAAGACCTGGCCTCAGAGTTATTCTCAAGACAGCACTCTCTACAGCCAGTCTTGACCAAGAGACTAGAGTCAGCAAACAAGCTAAACCATATGTGACATCCTAGGACTAAATGCTAAAGTGCCTTCCAGTTTTAAAATTCTATGTAATTTAGGTTAGATAGTGGTCAAAAGATGAAGTAGAAATCACATAAATTATTATAGCTAATTGGAAACAACTACAGTAAAAGTTTCCTAAATAGCAAAATGATAACTGGTGATCAACTTAAGTTTTAGAAAAAAAACCTGGGAGGTAATTCACTTTTTCAACTAATATTAGGAATACTAGAAATTACACTAAGGTGTTTAGAAGAGAGGAAAACAGAAAAGAAAGATATGGTTTATAGAGTTTCTCACTTTCCACTCAATAATAGTGCAGAGAAAGAATTATAAAAGAAAGGTTCCTAACAATTCTTGCACTGCTGAGAGAAAAATGTTGGCTCCACACACGCCCTTCCTTTCTTGCCCAACTCCCTCAAGCTCCTCAAGTAGGGATCTGCTAACATCATGGGCACCATGGAACTTCACTTTGCTGCCAGAGGAAGTAACAGATATCTCTCCCTCCCCCCCTTCTCCTTCCTCAGACAGGTCTGACACAACTGCTGGTGCTAGAAGAAGAAGGAACTATGGAGGGGAGACTTGAATATCCTTGTTATTCTCTTTCTTTTTAAAGGAAAGAGCTAGAGTTGTCTTCTACTTGAGGAGCTCATTTGCCTTTATAAAAGCAAATGGAATTGGGAATCTAGTACTTGCCTCCTTGAGGCTAACTCAAGTCAGGACTTTAAAAGAAGGGCTGGAAGAGTCTAAACTATGTTTCCCAGCTAAGACCTCAGGAGATTTGGGACAGAAATCTCTTCAATAATAAAGAGTACACCAAAGTACACAGAGTGGCCAGAGGATCTCCAAAAGCTGAAGCCCTTGAGAGTCCCATCTTTGCATCAGGTAGTTGGACAAAAAGGAAACACCCCCTCCCCAGCAAGAAATTACACAAGCCCCTACAGCTGGAATTCAGGAGGAGAAAGAAGAAAGAGAAATTCTTTGTACACTTTTCACGTGGTCCCAATTCATTTGTATGCCTCGTTAAGGATTAAGATGATTCCTGCTCATGCTTGCTGACGTACATCCAAGATTATCCTGCTAAATCTCCAGAAATGCCAACTGGGAAACAAATGATGATTGTTCTCTTAAAAGATCTTTGTTTGACTGTGTGACTGTAATGGCTCGTTGGGCTCCTTCAAGTGCCAGCCTGAACACAACCATGCAAAAAGGAAGAAAGAAAACCTCTACAAAGCAGCAGTCAAGGGCCAGTGCAGGCCCAGCTGCACAAACCTGGTGGCTGGCCTTTTAGCCAAGTGCTGAAGCAAGATGCCAGAACCAAGGGCAAGATAGACAGGCACTGAAGTGCAGAGCCAGAGTCATGCAAGGCTTCAGCACAGAACTGGGCAGAGGTTTCAGCAGTTGGGGCCAGTTGTGCCCTGAGCTGCAGTCAAGGCTGCCGAGGGAATCAGAACTCTTGGCACAGAGAACTGGAGGTATCCCCGCCAGCAGGTCCTGAAGAAGACCTGTAGACACACACACACACACACACACACACACACACACACACACACACATCCAGCCGTGCATAAGGCTAAGGTCTGGCTGTCTAAACATCTTAACGCTATCTGAGCTCCCTCTTCCATCCTGTTCCTGTACACCATTTTCCTTCCAAGGCTGCCCTCAGAGCTCACCTCACCCTATTTCTTCTGGGAAAAAAATTTCAGGACTTCCTGAGGAGAAGAGGAGAGAGAGAAAGGAGAGATTTATCACATAATACAATTTCCTCTGTCCAGAACTTCCTCCTCCTCAGCCCTCACCTTAGGGATGGTCCTACTTCAGCCCTGGAGGTGGTCCTGGATGCCCCTTCTGAGCAGCCACACGATGCCCAACCTGCCTCCACGGCAATGCCCACACACATAGAGGGAGGCTCAGAGCTTTACTCTTGCTCTCTTCCCATCTCTCACTGCTTTGATCAATTTAGAAAGCCTCAGCATCATGACCAGGGTTCCCAGGAGCCAGGGGAAAGGCTCTCAATAGGAGGAAACTCTTGCAGGTCCATCTGTTTGTCTTTCTAACGTAAAGACTCAGCCATTAGAGAACAACTAAATGAGATGCTGTATTTTCACTGACATTTGGGCTCTCAACTTCTGTTCTACCAGTTTTCTTTAACCTTCTTATTTTGTAATGAAATAGCGAAGATAACAAGGCAAGAGGAAAATATACTCTTTATTTTAACTACTGTATATCCATTAAATCCTGCTTAAAAGCATTTGTTTTCATTATTGTACAAAGCCGATTGACAAGAATGCAAAGTTGGGAGCAAGAGCCAAAAGAAGCTTAAGGATCTTATTTTAAATGTAAAACCTCTCTCTCAGACCTGGCCCAAGGACCCAGAGAGAGACAACTGCCACAGGTTCATTGCAGTTCTAGGGTAGCATCAGAGAAAAAGCCTTGAGAAAACCATGAAGTGGGGGAAAGTAATTTAACCCATCTCCCTAGAGCAGGCGTCCTCAAACTACAGCCCGTGGCCACATGCGGGTGTTTCACCCGTTTGTTTTTTTACTTCAAAATAAGATATGTACAGCGTGCATGGGAATTTGTTCATAGTTTTTTTTAAACTATAGTCCGGCCTTCCAATGGTCTGAGGGACAGTGAACTGGGCCCCTGAATAATTGTTTTTCAATTATTCAGGAATAATTGGATCCATCCAGGATCCATCCAATTTCCAGGATCCATCTAGCACTTCCTTGGTGAAGCTCAGGAATAAGGGGCAATCACCCTGACAAAGGTCCAGAATGGGAAGGTGGAGGGTTCAGACTCCAGAGTCAGGCTCCTGAGTTCAACTCCTTATGGCTGTGGAGTTCAGAGATGATAATAAACCCCTCTAGGCTTCTATTTTCCTGTGTATAAAATGGGGAAGATAATAACAGCCACCACTATCATCATACCAGGCTCTGAGATTTTTCCTATTTCAACAACCCTAAGTCTTTTACTCATATTTACCCTTTGGATCCTTACAACAACCCCAGGAGGTAGGTTTTATGATTGCCCCCAATTTACAGATGGAAAACTGAGGCACATCAAGGTTTAAGTACATCATTATAAGACTGCCTGGCATGCTTTAATAGTAAAGTACTCAATAAATGTTAGCTATTTTATTAACATTAAGAATTTTCTTAAGCCTTAAGCAGGTCAGAAAGACATACCAAGTGGACATAGCAAGATCCTGGGCTATTAAGTCTTTTTCTAGCTTCATTCCTTAGTTCTAAAATCTCACACAAATTTTCTATAAACCAGCTACCTTCTTTACTAAGTCTCTCTTATTTCTCATATAAGCACACGTGCACACATACACACACATTTTCTCACACATATGTACTCAGGATCACCACACATTCCTATACCCTGCAAAGCCACAGAGACGCTCTGGCAACCCTGAACCAGCTTCAGATTTAGGGATGCTTT